CTCTCCCTTAGATATTAGAATGCAAATGGACCCGAGGTATTTCCATTCAAAGCCAAACAAGAAACGAGAGGAGGAAAAAAATCTCCTTTTAGGAGTGTTTGATGTGTGAATTGATGTGAGAATAAAAGAGAGATTTCTCTTTCTTTTTTATCACCGTGCAGTCGTGCTGCTAACAGGGAGAGGGCTTTTCACTAGTGCGTTTGATATACATGAGTAAACACATTTCCCATGCTAATTTTCTGCACCGCGGTTCATCTCTCACCCACCGAGTCCAGGAATAGTAAACTGTTGACCCGGTGACTCCAGATGCCAGACAGGGCCCCGTCCCTGATTGGACTGCACGGTGCTTCAATCAGCTTAATTGGCCGAGACTACGGTATCAGTGAGAGGGGAGAAATGACGGAGGAATGCAGAAATTGGAAGAAAATGAAGAGCTGCGTCGCGCACACCTCATTATGTGTTGATTGACACGTCTGCAGAGGGGGAGGGGGGCGGCGATCTGAGCATCTCAGCGGCGAAAACAAAACAAGCTCAGTCGAGCTTTGATTCTGCGTCCTTTTAGGATTTTGCTTATTAGCTTCTTTTTTTTAAGTTGACAGCAGCAGATACACTTTATGCAGTAAGTATATATTTAAACCTAAAATAGTTTTGTGTGTGCAACATGGATTTATGAGGGCTGTTGTCAGTCTGAGCTGCTGTGTGTCTCTAAATACATGCATTTAAATGTGTCAGCAAAAGCGCATTCATGCATTTTCATGAGCGGTTTCAAAGAAGCGCAAATATTGTTTTTAATTTGTAGAACCTCGGTTATAATCAGCTTCTACTTTGCACTTTGATTGTGTGAACTGTGTGTATAAATGAATTCCTTGAGCATGGCTAATCCTTTGAGGTACATGTCACCATCACAATCAGAATATTTGACTTCCAAGTCTATGAAAAATTGTCATTCTTACTGACACACATGTGAAAAATTATTCATATTTTTCCCAAAGAAATTCTCGATTTTTGGGGGCTTTCTGCAAAATATTGCAGGTGCCACTAGCCAGGCATAGGGTTAGTGTTAACGCCTGCGATGACGGTGTTTCATGGGGCCCTGAATGGCTTCAACAAACTGGCTTCATGCTGCATTATTTGCACAGATTATTTTTTCTTCTTGAGAAAAATTGTCCTTGTTAAATGTATAAAAAATGATAAACAGACGAGCCTAAGTTTATGCAGAAATCTCATGGTATTGGTTGCTTTTCTTCTCCTTGTGATGGCCTTGGCAGCAAGAACTGCAGTCAAGCATTTGTGGTAATTGGCAATGAGTCTTTCGCGTCACCGTGGGGGAATTTTAGCCCACTCTTCTATGTAGAATTATTTTAATTCAGCCATTCATTTAGGTTTTCTTGAGACAATCAGAGGTGGATTTGCTGGTGTATTTCTGGTCGTTGTCCTGCTGCCTAACCAAGACGACCCTGAACTTTAGGGCACAAACTGATGGCCGGAGATTCCCTTCAGGATTTTGTGGTAGAGAGCAGGATTCACCGTTCTTATAATTATGGCAAGTTGTCCATTGTAATCTCACAACCACTAACACGTTTGACTGTTAGTGTCATGTTCTTTTGGGTGGCTGCAGTTCAGCAGGTAGAGCAGGTCATACTGTTTGGAAGGCTGGTGGTTTGATCCCAAATATTCTTGGGCAAGATACTAGCCCCGAGTTACTCTTCAGTGCATCCATTGGAGTATAAATGTGTGTGAATGTTAGCTGGTAAGCACTGGGATCGTCAAGATGCTTTTGTCAAATGTGAGATGAGCATTGTGCATTCACACAAGCACCTGTTATCCATACTTTCAGTGCTTTCGAACTGTTATTCATTCATTGTGCATTCATACGGAGAGCAAGTCGGGGTTAGTATCTTACCCAAGGATATTTGGTATGCAAACTTGGGGAACCAGGGATCGAACCACCAATCAGCAGCTGACCTGCTCTACCTCCTGAGCTACAGCCACCCCACTCTTCCATAAATGTCATTTGTGCCCAATCTCTTACTGCTGAATCATGAACTTGGACCTTAACTGAGGTGAGTCACGTCTGCAGTTAAGGTCAAAGCACTCAGATGTTGTTCCGAGTTCTTTTGTGACCTCTTGGATGAGCCATCCATGCTCCTTGGCGTAATGTTGGTAGGCCGGTCACGTGTGAGAAGGTTCACCACTGTTCAAGGGTTCTAGATTTGTAGATAATGGTTCTCACTTTGGTTCAGTGGAGTCCCAAAGCTTCGGAAATGCTTTTGCAACCTTTGTAACCAGTGACATCGTTCATCATCTTGCATGATATGTTGCATTTCGACACATTTTAGTTTACCCTACTTTGTCACACAGGTTATATTTAAGGGATTTATTGATTCAACAGGCCTGGGTGTGGCTAGTGAAGTTACACTCAGCTTTCAAATATATGGGGTTTAATCACAATAAATTCATGATTGCACAAAGGGTGGAGGGTTGGATAGGGTTTTTTATGCTTTAATAAATGAAACATCACCTTAAACTGTTATCTTTGTCTAATATTAAAATGTGTTGATGATCTGGAACATTGAAGTTTGACAAATATGCAAAAAACTAAGAAATCAAAGCAAGGATGCTGAATGATGTCCCTTGTGGGTGAATGCAGACTGATTTTCGTATAGTAGTGCCCTCTTATTCTGTGCCGTCAGCAGTCCTCTGGCTCAAATTCCCGCCCTTTACAGGAAATAAAAGGAGGCAGCAGCTCCAAGCAGTTCTGCATGTTTGCTGCGATTTCATGCACATCTCACACTCCTCCACAGTTTCCTTCTGTCGCTTCTTCTCCTTTCTCTGAAGAACTCCCATAATAGCGAATAGACTACCAGCAAAATCAAGCCAGATTGATCAAACATACAAGCTACAATTCATGTGTTGGAAAGGTCGTATTAAAGGTGTAAACACTTCAATATGCTCGCTCGGAGCGGTCAGTGCAGCAGTCCTCAGTAATTCAAGTGGAAGGAAGGACGACTGTGTTCTTGACTGATGGCTCCACATTGATCTTTGGGGTGTTTTTTAGAGGACATGTAAGCTTCATGCCTGTTTTCTCTTGCACTGGAGGGGAGTCCCAGCACCTCAGTGATGAATAGGTTTTTCCACACCTCTGTGCACTCCACGCCTGCTCAGTGTCATTGCTACAGCAGAAAGATGGAGATTTAGGCGGAGACAAATATCAGGATAATCGTTAAAGCACGATGGAGAAAAAGAGCCCGTCTTGGTCCAGTGTAACGTTTGTAAAGTGTTATGTCAGAGTCCCTTCCCTCTGTTCACCTGTTTTTTGGTTGTTTTCCAGCTCTTCCTGTTCCAGTTGCTGAGAGGTCTGTCCTACATCCACCAGAGGTACATTCTTCACCGTGACCTGAAACCCCAAAACCTCCTCATTAGCGACACTGGAGAGCTGAAACTCGCCGACTTTGGTGAGCAAATTCAGTTTTTTTGTCAGAGATAAGAGTACATGTGAAACTTAGAGATGAGGCAGATTCTCGTGTGGTGGTGAAACAGTTAGTCCAGCATTTATCTGCAGTCATTACTCGTGTTATATGCACACTGCTTGTTTGAGTTCATTATCTTCAGTCTGCTTTTACTCAAGGTTGACCACAAACGATTATTTTGATAGTCGACTAGTCACCGATTATTTTTGCGATTAGTCGACTAATCAGATCATCATCCATTGGA